GAAAGTGAGGGTGCTGGGAAGAGAATATAGAGCGAAAGTGAGGGTGCTGGGAAGAGAATATAGCGCGAAAGTGAGGGTGCTTGGATGGGAATATAAAGCGAAAGTAAGGGTGCTGGACCAAGAATATAGAGCGAAAGTGAGGGTGCTGGGAAGAGAATATAGAGCGAAAGTGAGGGTGCTGGGAAGAGAATATAGAGCGAAAGTGAGGGTGCTGGGAAGAGAATATAGAGCGAAAGTGAGAGTGCTGGACCAAGAATATAGAGCGAAAGTGAGGGTGCTGGACCAAGAATATAGAGCGAAAGTGAGGGTGCTGGACCAAGAATATAGAGCGAAAGTGAGGGTGCTGGACCAAGAATATAGAGCGAAAGTGAGGGTGCTGGACCAAGAATATAGAGCGAAAGTGAGGGTGCTGGGAAGAGAATATAGAGCGAAAGTGAGGGTGCTGGACCAAGAATATAGAGCGAAAGTGAAGGTGCTGGACCAAGAATATAGAGCGAAAGTGAGGGTGCTGGACCAAGAATATAGAGCGAAAGTGAGGGTGCTGGACCAAGAATATAGAGCGAAAGTGAGGGTGCTGGACCAAGAATATAGAGCGAAAGTGAGGGTGCTGGACCAAGAATATAGAGCGAAAGTGAGGGTGCTGGGAAGAGAATATAGAGCGAAAGTGAGGGTGCTGGACCAAGAATATAGAGCGAAAGTGAAGGTGCTGGACCAAGTATATAGAGCGAAAGTGAGGATGCTGGGAAGAGAATATAGAGCGAAAGTGAGGGTGCTGGGAAGATAATATAGAGCGAAAGTGAGGGTGCTGGGAAGAGAATATAGAGCGAAAGTGAGGGTGCTGGGAAGATAATATAGAGCGAAAGTGAGGGTGCTGGACCAAGAATATAGAGCGAAAGTGAGGGTGCTGGACCAAGAATATAGAGCGAAAGTGAGGTGCTGGACCAAGAATATAGAGCGAAAGTGAGGGTGCTGGACAAGAATATAGAGCGAAAGTGAGGGTGCTGGGACAGAGAATATAGAGCGAAAGTGAGGGTGCTGGGACCAAGAATATAGAGCGAAAGTGAGGGTGCTGGACCAAGAATATAGAGTGAAAGTGAAGGAGCTGGGAAGAGAATACAGAGCGAAAGTGAAGGTGCTGGGACAGAGATATATAGAGCGAAAGTGAGGGTGCTGGACCAAGAATATAGAGTGAAAGTGAAGGTGCTGGACCAAGAATATAGGAGCGAAAGTGCGGGTGCAGGGAAGAGAATATAGAGCGAAAGTGAGGTGCTGGACCAAGAATATAGAGCGAAAGTGAAGGGATGCTGGGAAGAGAATAAGAGCGAAAGTGAAGGAGCTGGGAAAGAATATAGAGCGAAAGTGAGGGTGCTGGGAAGAGAATATAGAGCGAAAGTGAGGGTGCTGGACCAAGAATATAGAGTGAAAGTGAAGGTGCTGGACCAAGAATATAGAGCGAAAGTGCGGGTGCTGGGAAGAGAATATAGAGCGAAAGTGAAGGTGCTGGACCAAGAATATAGAGCGAAAGTGAAGGAGCTGGGAAGAGAATAAAGAGCGAAAGTAAAGGAGCTGGGAAGAGAATATAGAGCGAAAGTGAGGGTGCTGGGAAGAGAATATAGAGCGAAAGTGAGGGTGCTGGACCAAGAATATAGAGTGAAAGTGAAGGTGCTGGACCAAGAATATAGAGCGAAAGTGAGGGTGCTGGACCAAGAATATAGAGCGAAAGTGAGGGTGCTGGGAAGAGAATATAGAGCGAAAGTGAGGATGCTGGGAAGAGAGTATAGAGCGAAAGTGAAGGTGCTGGACCAAGAATATAGAGCGAAAGTGAAGGAGCTGGGAAGAGAATAAAGAGCGAAAGTAAAGGAGCTGGGAAGAGAATATAGAGCGAAAGTGAGGGTGCTGGGAAGATAATATAGAGCGAAAGTGAGGGTGCTGGGAAAATAATATAAAGCGAAAGTGAGGGTGCTGGACCAAGAATATAGAGCGAAAGTGAAGGAGCTGGAAAGAGAATATAGAGCGAAAGTGAGGGTACTTGGATGACAATCTGGAACGAAAATGGGAAAGCAGTCTCACTTTCGCTCTCTCTTCTCTTCCCAGCATCCCCCGCACCAAGCTTTCTCAGAACGCACCAGTATTACGCCGTAGATCTCCCTTCCCAACCTCCCCTTCGTAGCTCTCTCGGCTCCCCAGCACCCTGCGAGGATCTCTGCCTCCGCTCCTCGATTCGCCGCTTCCGATACTGCTGACTGTACCCCCCCATTCCCCCCTTCCCCCCCTCCTCCCGCGCCCGTCGCCGAAGTCAGCTCCTGGTGACTGCCTAATAGATCCCCGGCGGGAGGAGGTTAGGCCTGGGCGAGTGGCGGAAATACAGGCCGTGGCTAGTTTTATAGAGGGAGGGAAAAGGAAATATTACTTCTTGTATGCGCAATATTTCAAAGACGCAGGCACTCGAACACGCACACATGGATGCAAGCACACACGCACATATATATATGTATATATATGTATATATATATATATATATATATATATATATATATATATATATATATATATATATATATATATATATATATAAACATATGTATGTATATATATATATATATATATATATATATATATATATATATATATATATATATATATATATATATATATATATATATATATATATATATATATATATATATATATATATATATATATATGTATATATATGTATATCTATATATATCTATATCTATCTATCTATCTATCTATCTATCTATCTATCTATCTATCTATCTATCTATCTATCTATCTATCTATCTATATCTATATCTATATCTATATATCTATATATATATATATATATATATATATATATATATATATATATATATATATATATATATATATATATATATATATATATATATATATAGCGCGTGTGTGTGTGTATGTGTGCGTTTGTGTGTATGAGTATATATATATATATATATATATATATATATATATATATATATATATATATATATATATATATATATATATATATATATATATGATATGTGTGTGGGTGTATATATATGTATATATGTATATATGTATATATGTATATATGTATATATATATATATATATATATATATATATATATATATATATATATATATATATATATATATATATATATGATATGTGTGTGTGTGTGTGTGTGTGTGTGTGTGTGTGTGTGTGTGTGTGTGTTTATATATGTATATATGTATATATGTATATATATATATATATATATATATATATATATATATATATATATATATATGTATGTATATATATATATATATATATATATATATATATATATATATATATATATACATATATATATATATATATATAAGTATATATATATATATATATATATATATATATATATATATATATATATATATATATATATATATATATGTATGTATGTATATGTATATATATATATATATATATATATATATATATATATATATATATATATATATATATATATATATATATATATATATATAAGTATATATATATATATATATATATATATATATATATATATATATATATATATATATATATATATATATATATATATATATATATAATATTCGTTACAAACTTCCCTCTTAACTTTTCGCTGATGCTGACATGTTTGTTTCTTTATCGAGCATTCACCTTTGCGTTTCTATTTACTCTTACCTTCTCTCTCTTCCGTGTCTGCTCCTTTTCATCATTGCAGCAAGCCTCCCGTTGCATCTTCTCCTGCCTACCTGAGCCCTGCAACGAGCGATCCCTTCTACCGGCGTCCCGGCTGTGTCCAGTTCGGGTCCTCGCGTCGAAAGTCCGAGCCGTGCAGAGGACTTGTTGCAGAAGCACAACAGAGGGAAAGGAAAAAAAAATTCCTGTGGCATCCTAGCCTTCTCAAGGGCCAACGTTTCCTTTCAAGATATCTATCGGTATTCATTCTATGTTTGTTTTGTTTTTTTTCAGTCGTAGAACAGTGAATGATTTGTTCATGGGGAGTCTTTATGAGTGGAGGGCTGTTGCTATGAATGGCAGCCAGGTGGGGTAAGGGAAGTTGTCCGTTATTTTGTTTACAGTCCGACGTGTGACCAGGAGCAGCAGTTTGGCTCTCTCCAGGAAGCGTGCCGTTACCATGGCTACCGCCCCTGAGGAGAGCTACAAGGGCTTAACCTCCTTGGCAACATCAGGGAAAACCGAGCTTTGCGATAATAGGCATTAAGGGCGCTGAGGACGGGTGGCTGTGAAGGAGGGCGTGCCCCGGCTCTCCACTATGTCAGGATTCATAATTTGCTGCTGTGTGAGACTCTAGTTTTTGTTAGAAGATGAATAAGTTTATTAAAATTCTGATGCGTGTTATTCATATGATACAAGAGTAATGTTCTATTCATATGTACATTGACAAGACGCAATGTTATCAAAAGAAACTTGACCCTTAAGATTTTTCACGAAAATGTCGTAAATCCTATGATTTTGTGGATACATTATAGTGCCAATAATGTTGTGATGTAAATACAGACGTGCTCAGTCAGCAGTCTTCAGGATAATTAATATTGGCGAAGCAGAAACTTAAATTGAAGGAAGATATGACAGTGAAGAAGAAATTATGTCCAATCCCATTTATTTGCTCTAGGAAAATCTTAGTAGCCTTATGAACAACACAGAAACACACAAAGGACCCATAGCATTGTGAGACATGTGTTAAAACGCACGTATGTGTTCAGGTCTTATAATGCACACGTAAAATAAACACATACGCAGGAATTATGCTAAACCTACAAACATGCACAAAAAGGGAAACTAAATTATCATGTATAAACATTTGCAAAACTGACTCTCGTTCTGGGAGAGAGATGGGAGAGGGATTCCCGTTGATCTTTCACTCTCCTTCTGCTCTGTCTCTTTGTCTTTGTGTCCGTCTCTCTCTCTCTCTCTCTCTCTCTCTCTCTCTCTCTCTCTCTCTCTCTCTCTCTCTCTCTCTCTCTCTCTCTCTCTCTCTCTCTTTCTCTGTCTCTCTCTGTCTGCCTGTCCCTCTGTCTCTTTCTCTCTGCCTGTCATTCTCTGTCTCTGTCTCTCTGTCTGTCTCTCTCTGTCTTTGTTTCTCTTTGTCTCTCTCTCTTTCTGTCTATCTCTCTCTGTCTCTCTCTGTCTCTGTCTCTCTCTCTCTCTCTCTCTCTCTCTCTCTCTCTGTGGTTGTCAGTCAGTTAGTGTCTGTCTGTTTGTTTGTTTGTCTGTCTGTCTTTTTGTCTATCCGTCCCTTTGTCTGTCTGTTTGCCTGTTTGTTTATCTGTCTGTCTATTTCTCCGTCTTTGTCTCTCTCTATCTGTCTGTCTGTCTCCCCCCCCTCTCTCTCTCTCTCTATCTTTCTCTCTATCTCTCATACATACACACGCCTTGTATGTGTGAGGAGGCGCAACAGCTTTGGTCGGTCTCTGTTTATTTTCACCAAGTTCAAAATATTGTTTTCAAAAGCCATGTCTAGAGCTTTTTTTCATAACTTCAGCATTATAAAGGGTTTTAAATGATTACACTAATATTGATAACAAGTCTAACTGGAATATGAGCGATGAGTTAATTCACACAGTATAAATATCTTGATATCGTAAGAAATGTATCATTATATTTCCTTATTTAGGTAACTCATCTTGGGAAAAAATGCAACATACATAGAAAACCTTTGATTGACCTATGACCTTTGATTGCCAAGCCAAAGTATACAGACTCTCCAGAAGTCAAATAAAGATCTCCATTTCAGCTCTTAAATTATCTCTAATATATTGATGTCAGATGCATGCTATTTTATGCACGTCTACTGCTCGTTAAGATTACTTTCCATGCGGTAAAACGAATGGCTTTGAATCCTTGTATCACTAAGGAACTTTAAGGCTACATTGAACACTTCTGGCACACGCTGACTAATGAGTAACTTGATCCCTCCTCAATGCATGTGGAAACTGCCCCGTCCTTTGAGATTCATATCACATCTTTCAGGTCCCGGAGATAAGGCATAATCTGTCTCTACAAGTGACGCGGTGAATGCTGCTCGATGTAACTCTGCTAATCGATGCCTTATTTGATTTTCATTCTTTCTTTTTCTTTTTTTTTTTTGATCGATAACTGTTTAAAAAAAAGAAAGGAAAAATGACGAATCATGGCCCACACGCAGTCATGGAGAAATAGTGATCATCTTCTTCATAGATCTATCGAAACTCTTTCCAGGATATGTACTTGTATTGCTTTTGGCCAACAATACGTTATTTTCTTAATAAGATAGATAGATAGAGAGATGGATAGATAGGTAGATAGATAGACAGACAGATAGGTAGATAGATAAACAGATAGGTAAATAGATAGACAGGTAGGTAGATAGATAAATATATAGATACATATGTAACAGAGTGAGAGAGAGATAGATGCTATAATCAATTTTCATGGACAGGATCTGTTTAGGCGGCCTGCTCGGGAGATCAAGAAAATGATTAATTCTCATTATTTTTTATTTATTTATTTTTATGCGCCAGACCTTCAAGTGAATAAGGAGAGTTGACTGCGTGCATGTTGACTTCGCGTCGTGATGTAGGCTGACCGTTTGTTTTGACTGTTCGTGGTTTTTGTGACGTTGTTTTTTTTTAAATTATTTATTCGTTTTTTCCGGTTAAGTCATTGCAAGACGTCATCCGAATTCTAAACATCCTACGTAACGTCACAAAGATTCGACTCTTATCTGGGTGACTTGAGAATGTGACTTCATATTGCGAAAACGAAGTTCAATGAATTAAGACAAATATAATTCATATAAAAAAGCGTCTATCTTTTGTCTGTTTTTTTTTCTGTTTTTAGTTTAAACAACTTCCACGTAAAACCTTAAATAATAATAATAATAATAAAAAGTACACAAATGTGTCTCTTTGTACATCCGGCTTATCATTGTTTATGATGACTTTGACTTTAAACTGTTACTTTAAACTTTGGCTCTTCAAACTTTAATGCAAAATGTCCTTCCTGGTTGCTAACAAGAGCAGGAAGGAAGTTAAAGAATTTGTTTTCTTAACATGTCATTTTCTTATCATTAGAAGCTGAATTATCTAGTCAATGTTTATCACTTTTTTTGAAATATCTTTAATTCATTTAAAAAACGAAATGTTTTTTTTTTGTGTCCCCTACGTATTTTTTTTTTTTCACTTTATTTCTCTCTCGTAAAATATATCAATCATATTGCTGCGTATAACCACATTTCTTTCCCATCAAAAAAAAAGAGAGAAAAAAGAAAAAGTTGATAACAGATAAAAAAAAAAATCAACGACAAAAAAATAAAAAAATAAAAATAAAAAGATCAATAAAATACAAAAAAATGAAAAAAATGCCGAAGCTTTGTGATAATCTGCGCAAGCTTTTCCTAACTCAGGGGGAACTTCGCTAAACACGTCGAACTGAATTGTGCAGCGTAAGTTTTTTTCTTATATTGACAGAAAAATATATATAGAGAGATAGCTGGATATATAGATAGATAGATAGTTGGATACATAGATGGATAGATAGTTGGATATATAGATAGATAGATAGCTGGATATATGTATATATATATATATATATATATATATATATATATATATATATATATATATATATATATATATATATACATATACATATATATATATATATATATATATATATATATATATATATATATATATATATATATATATATATATATATATATATATATATATATATATATTTATATATATATATATATATATATATATATATATATATATATATATATATATATATATACCCATATATATATATATATATATATATATATATATATATATATATATATATATATATATATAGATAGATAGATAGATAGATAGATAGATAGATAGATAGATAGATAGATAGATAGATAGACAGATATAGATAGATAGATAAATAGATGGATAAATAGATTGATAGTTGGATATATTGATAGAAAGATAGAAAGCTGAATATATATATATATATATATATATATATATATATATATATATATATATATATATATATATATATAGATAGATAGATAGATAGATAGATAGATAGATAGATAGATAGATAGATTGATAGTTGGATATATTGATAGATAGATAGTTGGAGATATAGATAAATAGAGAGTTGGATATAGAGATAGATAGAGAGTTGGATATATAGATAGATAGATAATTTATATAGATAGATGGAGTGTTGGATACATAGGTAAATAGATATATAGAGTGTAAGACAGAGAAATGGATATATAGAGAAACAGATAGAGAAATAGATAGATAGATAGATAGATGGAGAAGGGGAGAAGAGAGAGAGAGAGAGAGAGAGAGAGAGAGAGAGAGAGAGAGAGAGAGAGAGAGAGAGAGAGAGAGAGAGAGAGAGAGAGAGAGAGAGAGAGAGAGAGAGAGAGAGAGAGAGAGAGAGAGAGAGAGAGAGAGAGAGAGAGAGAAGAATCAATGAAAGAATTAGAAATAAAAAAAAACATGTATTTCTTTTATTCGACGTAACAAGCTCAGTCTGACCACTCAGTCTATGTTCATCATACTTTCAAGTTCATTATATGTTTTGCTTGCATGTGGATGATATAAACAAATGAATTCGAAAAAAGAAAATTTATTAATATGACATTCATATAATACAATATTTACAAATATCTCGATTCTGTACAAGACATAGGAAGGTGTTTGCAACTGCACACACAAACAGACATACACATACAAACACTCACTCACTTACACTTACAAACGCACACACTAAACAATAACCACTCATTACTTTAAACAACATTGTCAAAAAAAAAAAGAAAAAAAAAATCCGCATTAGATATTGATATTTACAACGACTATGTGATTCGGTCGGTTACACTGAAAATACAAGTGTCACGCTATTTACACCGCTACAGCCGAGGGTCGAAGGGCGAAAGTCCCCTCACACACCCAGCCACTTTAGCAAACACCACTGGATCCATATATAAAACTATATCAAAAGTCATAATCCAAAAAATAGTTTATCGTTGGGAATGTTGAATGGTGCACATTTTTTTTCCTTTTAATTCACAGTATTTCATAGGAGTAAATATAATGATGGGAAATTAATACTTTACT